CATGTCACTCTAGTTCATGTCACTCTAGATCATGTCACCAGGTTTCATGCCACCCTGGTTCGTACGCAGTTCGACATGCTCTCTTCCATCCATCAGCAGCACTCTCCATCCGCATAAAAAATCATGCGACATTTTTTCTGCTGTCTTTTCATCCTTCTGTGCGTATCCGTCCTGTTCCTCTGGTCCTTCATGCAGCAGCGGCAATGAAGGCGCTGATAGAATAGGCAGGCCAGCAGCACCATCCTCGATCCTAGCATGCTCAGTACCAAGCTACCATATGCAACTGGCGCTGTCTTACCTCAAAGCTGGGGTTCTTGCATCCTCACATGTGGTGCGGAGCGGACCCATTTGCATTTTTTTTTTTTTTTTGGTTGCGGAGCAACCTATTACAATCGTTATGGTGAATTTTTGTTTTTCAATCCTCTTTAAAAAAAGACGAAGAAAATCTAATGAACGGTAGCTGTGTGACTTACACTATGTATTTGCCACGGCAATTCAGCACGTGCCGTACTGCGTTCCTTCTCATTTCCTAATTTGTTTTACTGTACAAACTGGATGAAACATGAACGCGTGATTGTCTATTCCGTAATGCATATGCCGGATCATATTATATGCATAGAAGATGTATGGATGGATATGAACCAAATATTGAATGCAAAATGCATAAATACGGTATAATGCATATGCTACAAAAATTACGTTTTTTTTTTTCGTTATAAATCCGCTGTATGATGGAAATGGATCCATGGCATGATGGTAATGCGTATTACACTACTGTGAAATAAATGCATAGCATGATGGTAATGCGTAACAGTTAATTGACCCAGACCCTATGCTACCGCATCCCCTGCCTAGCATGAGGGGAAGTCAATAGCATAAATCCTGAATCACCCAACTGTTACATGAAACAACACAATCTGTGTAAATTAAAAAAATAATCAAGATCCATCAAATCCAGTTCAAATGGACACACTCACTGAGTGCGCAAAGAACCTTCTCGGAAATGATAGGTTGACCATTTTTTTTAAACACCCAGATATGCATTGTGAATGCAATGATATATGCAAATGGATGAATGCACACACACATACATACACACACATAGAGACATACACACACAGACGCACCAAAATTCACGCGCAAGAACTGAGACTAGTCAATAAAAAACAAATCTACCAAAGCAAAACAATACCATCAATCATACAAGTCAACACTTATATCAAACTACTTTCTACATTGGTCTTGACTTCCCAATAATACAGCAAAGCTTCTGGGGAAAGGAAGAGGGCAAAAGGGGCAGAAGAAGGGGGAAGGCAGAGAAATTGATAAAGATGGTAATCCAACAGAAACGAAATGCGCGGATTGACAAAGTGAAAGAAAAAATCATTGGCAGACCAAACACAAAACACTCTGAGAAATAAAAAGATTCTGTAATTTCGAGAAAAGAACGAGCTAAACAAAGAAGCATGGAATAAACAGGAGGCGACGAATGAGAAGGGGGGGAAGGAAAGAACATGGGATGGCAGAAAACATGAGATAAACAGGAGGCGAGGAATGTCAAGGAGTGAAACAAGGAGAGAATAGTTTAGAAAGAAAGAGAAACGGGTGAAAGGAAACACGCAATGAAGGGAAAGTCGCACATACTTCTATAACTTACGGGTTGAGTAAGTTTCACCACTTATTGTAAAATAACAAAATATGTTTCTACATTGCTCGTTTAGCTCGTTTCACAAGACACGAATAAGGCGGTCATTATCATTTGACAATTCTGTGAAATCTCACAGCGCTTAAAACGACTAACGATGAGAGAGTAAAACAAAAAGAGGAGTAGACGAGGAACTTAGAGAATCACGGTTAGACGGAAGAAATCACAAAGGAGATGATAGAGAAACTTGCAAGACATTAGAATATATACAATAAATGGAGCAAAGAAGAAAAAAAGGAGTAGTGCAACGAGGCGGATTTGAGAGAGAGGCAAACGGACGAGAGAGGGAGAGAGACGGACGAGCGAGAGAATTGGAGAAAAGAGAGAGATACTATCTTGACGTTCTGAATTCTACATTATCTAGAGAAAACGTCAATGTAACTTTGGTTCAAACACTTAAGAAACGACCAATTACGAGACTCTTTCACTAAGATCTATTCCCTAAATCACCTAAGAAAAACTACTCTAGCATTTAGATGGCTCACCTAAGAAGCTGGACTCCAGGGAGTTGAGTTGTCGGAGAACACCAGCAAGAGCAGCGGGAAGAGGAGTTGTTGCGGGAGGAGAGTAGTGAACGAAAGGAGCGAATGAAACCCTAAGCAGTTTTCTATTCTGTCGCAATGCAAAATCTGTGTGTATTAAACGTATAGAATTGTACAGATTGTTTAGCGCAGTGGTGTTCGATGAAGTTGGGAAGCGAAAGATCAAGGGTTGTTTTCACATTTCGAATATCTGTTAGTTCTTCACTAACTTTAACTACACCATTTCTATTTGACTTCAGGTATGCTTAGAGCAGAACTGAATGATTTTTTACATGTACATCGCAATAATTGGATTAACCATTTCACCATTTCATCACATCATTCAAAACACGAAAGAATTAAAATTGGCGTTCGAAAGATTGTGTGGACACAATAACTGTAGTGAGTATATTTTAATGAACAATACAACTACCAGCACATCAACAAAAAATGCTCCGCAACCCTAAGACGATTTAGTCGCCTCTTGTTTTTTTTGTGGGCTTTTGGTTTCCATGCATGTATTGTACGGTATCTGCCTATAGTTTGTTAGGATTTTGCTATGAGTTTGCACTCACATCATTACACAATATATTGTATGGAGGTCCCCATCATTAACCAAATGAGATGCTTTCAAAATTTATACCGAAGATGCCACAGTCATAAGGCACACTGTTCACAGTGTTCTTTCTCAAATTGATGAGGGGAAAGTAAATGTTCATATCAGTTCCTCAAAATTTGAAACCAATTGCATAAGGTTGCTATGCGCCAACACCAATTCAATAACGAACCAGGTTTGAGGCCAAGGCTCCCTGCCCTTCAATCGCGTTCCCTTTGCACACTGGCCTCTCCCAACGTCGTTGAGCCAATCAATCGTCAAATTCTTTCTCGAATCAGCCTGACGATGAGCGCACGACGATGTGGTAACACGACGGACGCGTCGTCCGCAAGAAGCGGCGGTATCAAATCATCAAAACTGACTCGTCCTTCAGCGAATGAATGCACACCGCAACTCCCTCCCTCCATGTTACTCCCCCTAGTCCCTACCCCACACGAACTCCATCCTATTCGCAACCCAAACGCGCACATTAGCTCCGCTGCACTCCCCGCATTCGCCGCTTCAATTTGCGCGTTCCATGCTCGCTCGCCCAATCGCTTTCTCGTTTCGATCTCGCAGTTCACGCTCGCAACTCGATGGCCTCGCCGCACCACTCGCTCCCAACGCATAAATCACCCCTGTCCCTTCCTTTCGCCATCTCACAACATTCTCCGCCGTTTCTTCCACCTCGCGCACATCACACCTTGCTGCAGCGTATGTCCTCCTCGTCAGTAGTTCACGATCGCCCATTCTCGTCGCCCGTTCCCGTCGCCCGTTCCCGTCGCCCGTTCCCGTCGCCTGTTCCCGTCGTCCCTCCTCCCCGTTGTATTCCTCGCCATGAAGCAGCGCGGCCGTTCCGCCCTCCGCCGCCTCGCGACGCTGCGAGTCGTCGCCGGCCTCGTCGCGTTAGCCGTGCTCGTCGCGCCTACATCCGCCAGCAACGCGTACTTCCCTCCCTACCCCTTCGCGCCCGTCAACACGGGCATTTATTTCTTCAGCGCGGGAGGGCCTGAACGGATAACCGACGACAAGGTCCTCATATACGACGATTCCCTGTGCGCCATCGTGCCGCAAGGCGGGAATCGATTTATCAAGGGCGCCATTGTGAAGGTGCGGTGGGACACGATCGGGTTCAACGACCGCACGTGCAAGCGACTCACCTTCCACCGCACCGCGAGCTGCGGGGGGCCGCCCTCTTTGGCACTCGTGCGCCCGGACAGGAAAGGCGCCCCGATGAGCAGCAGCGAGCGGCGCGCGATGCTCACACGCAGGTGAGCCCGTCCGCCCGCCCTGCTCTGTTTTTCTCTGTTTTGCTCTGGTCTGCTTTGCAACACGGCCGTGCTTCGAGACTAACAGCAGAAATCTGGTTGCTGCTCGCAGGGCTTTCGCTCCCGCGCAAGTACCCAAGTCCGTCAAATGCGAGCTCAAATGTAAGTCCCTCTGCTGTATTGTGTCGCGAGCCCTGTGTGTCACCGTGGCAACTCTACCACCTGCGAAGCATCACTAGATGCCAAAATCCCCTACTTCCATCCAGCAGAAAGAATCAAGAGGAATCCTTGCACCTGTGCCCCTTTCAAAGCGTCTATGTTTTCGTGTCCTTACACACTCCTGCATGCTGGTTCACTTGCTCTCTTCCATCCGCCAGCACTCTCCATACCACGTTAATCAATCTGGACCATTTATTTTGCTGACATCTCTTTCCCCCCTTGTGTGCATTTTCCTCCCGTCCCGTTCCATCCTTCCTTTGGATAGGAGCACAAGCAAAGGGGCTGATGGGATAGGCTGGACAGCATCAGCCATACTAAATCCCATTTTCAACCCGAATAGAGCCAACTTAAGAGCCATTTCTTGAATGTGTTATGTTTGCTTGACTGTATTTTACATTATCCTTGTATGAGTGGGTATGTATAATTATCTCGTGGGTCTTTTCTCATTCCCATCCCATGCCATGCCAACTGTCCGATCAGGGTGGTGGTACAAGATGATAACCTCACCAACATTTGCACTTCTATTGACCTTACCTTACCTTCATACGGTCTTGAAAGCAGATTCTGAGCAGAACTGAAAGCATCATATTCCACTCCAAATCCGACCTATTGTACTCGTTGCTATGGGACCCTCAGGGTCGCAATTGCCTGGGATAAAAACAGCAGTTAGGTGGTATGAAAAGAATGCTGCACTATGAGAAAACCCAGAGTATGATAGAACTAGAGCATCCGTTGATGCCAAAAGGAGCCACTCTACGACAATGTCAATGTATGCCGATGCTGCCATGTCGCGCGTAGCTCGATCTGGAGAGGGTGACGATGTGGGCTCAGCATCAGTAGATGACATATGTATGGTGGACTTTAAAGTGTTGGCATGTACCGGAAGAATGTCTGATGCCACCACCTGTGAAATAAGGGGTGACATGACGATTGAAAGATGGATCTTGCGTTGCTTGAAATATGGCATCTTGCAACATGTATGAAACCACAACCTGTTAAAGAAGCCAGCCTAGGTGATGACAATGATGAGGATGCACTGTGAGGGTGCGTCGTCAGGGGCTGAGGAGATCGAGAGGAGGGTTTGGACCGAAGTGTTTTTTTTTGGGGGGGGGTTGAGAATGGGAAGGGTTTGGGGGGGAGGGGAGAGGAGGGAGCGGGGCGGGAGGGGAGGGAGGGGCGGGGTAAGTGCATGCGTGTGTGTGTGCCCGCGCGCGCGTGTGTGTGTGCGTGCGCGCGCGTGCGTGCTTGTGTGTGTGTGTGTGTGTGTGTGTGTGTATGTGTGTGTGTGTGTGTGCACATGGATGTGTGTGTGTGTGTGCACATGGATGTGTGTGTGTGTGTGTGTGTGTGTGAGCACATGGATGTGTGTGAGAGAGGAAAGGGAGAAGGCAAGGGGAGCTGGGGGGCACATGCCTTGTGGGGGTATTTGCGCTTCAGGTCTTCCTTGAGTTGCCGTGAGTTGCTGATGACAAGCCACCTCACGCTGGTCGGAGGGGGCATCCACCAGAACTCCAGCTTCTGAAGGGCCGAAAGGAAGCGGGAAAGAAGGCATGAGTGAAACAAGGAAAAGGAAAGCAGAAAGAATGGGTGGGAATGCTTCCCTTTATCAACCCGGCTCGAGCCTAATGCCATGCCAACGATCAGAACAGTGAATCCCTCAACTGCCATCAACACACCCACCTCAGCGCATGCCATGTAGCTCTCCGCCCACGCCATCAGCACGCCCCTCTCCCTGTCGCTCAGAACCTTGGGCTCCCCAAAGCCCTCCTTGCCCTCCCACACAAACGTGTCGTTTGCCCTCAGGTGAATGCCCACCACCGCCACCCTGTGGCTTGAGGCGCCATCAGAGGCACCTGAGTGGCCGGCCGCTGCAGAATGAGGTTGGCGGAGCGGGGAGGAGGGGGCGGGAGTGGACAAGAGGCTGTGGTACATGGCTTCGGCTTTTGCGATCACATCTGGCTGTGGCCTGGTGGGTGGGGGTGTGTGGGACGGGGAGGGGCAAGAGCGTTGCAGGCAGGTGCATGAGCGTTGGAGGGAGGGGCATGACTCTAAGTGTCCCGGACTCCTTGAACCAAGGTATCAAGTGGCCCTGAATCACCCTTGAGGGAGCTGGGATGTAGGAGAGATGAAAGCTTGTTTAAGGAAGCGTCAAACTTACGTTTGAGATCCATCAAGAAGTGATACGAGAGCATCGCACCACACAGTTGACGAGAGCTGATAGCGTCACGTCAGACACGAGTGCTGCAGGTGGAGTGGAATGTCATGCCACATGTGCGTCAGAGTCATCTCACATGTGTGCCATGACATGGGGTCATAACACATACACATACATACGTGACCCGATGGAGTGATGCCCGAGTGCTGATGGGGTCATGGCATGCACCAGGCAATGGCGTCTCACTTGAGAAGGAAGCGAAGAATGCAGCCAAAGGCGTATGGAGGGCGCATGGCCATGGCCTTGAGGCGGTCACTCCACTTCTTATCCACCGCCTACAGTGATCCAAGAGAGGAGAGGAGAGGTGATGAGCACCCGAGCTCATTAAGCACATGAGACTGGCTCCCGTGTAGGTTATTGCTAACAGTATGTTCGTTTGAGAGAGGGCCAAATAAAGTGTGCTCTTGAGGCGGAGGAAGAAGGGGGAAAACGGTGGTGAGGGGAGGGGAGCAAGGGAAGGAAGAAATCACATCAGCAGCAGAAGGGAGAGCAAGCAAGGATCCTTTGAGATAGACCACATTAAGTGTGTTTTGGGGATGAGGGCACAATGGCACATGATGAGGCTGCATGCAGCTAGGAAGAAAGGAGAGCATGTCAACGCACGATACGGTGCGAATCAAGAGGCGAGGGCGAGAGAGGATGGGGAAAGTGTCTACGAACGTTTTAGTGAGGTCGCATGCCCATGCCCTTTTTCATTCCCATACACACCCATGCAATATGCCATTATGCATGCCCGTGCCGTCCATGGCCTGCCCATGCCTACGTCCATGCTGCATGCCCAAGCCAATGCCCATGCCCATGACCATATCCATGCCTCAGGCCTGTCCCCATGCCCATGCCCCATGCACATACCCATACCCATGCCCCATGCCCATACCCATGCCCCATGCCCATGCCCATGCCCATGCTCATGCCCATGCCCATGCCCATGCCCATGCCCATGCCCATGCCCATGCCCATGCCCATTCCCATGCCCATGCCCATGCCCATGCCCATGCCCATGCCCATGCCCATGCCCATGCCCATGCCCATGCCCATGCCCATGCCCATGCCCATGTCCATGCCCGTACCCGTGGCCATTCCCATTCCCATTCCCATTGCCCATGCCCGTACCATGCCCATGTATACCTATACCCATGCTGCATGCCCATCCTCATACCCATCCCCATCCCCATCCCCATCCCCATCCCCATCCCCATCCCCATCCCCATCCCCATCCCCATGCCCATGCCCATCCCCATGCCCATCCTCATGCCCATTCCCATGCCCACACTCATGGTTCCTCCACCCTCCACTGACACCACCATATGTAGCAACACACAGAGGGAGCGACAAGACAGATAAGGTTAAGGTTGCTGCTAAGCAGGAATGGAAAACGAGTCTCATCTTGGCCTTGCCTTGTCAGCCAAACCAAGGCAAATGAACAGATGAGTAACACAACAAGCACAACGACTGTTTCTTCTTCTACTCAGAAGCTACACCACACACACCTGTGCGAGCCAGTAGGTGAGCAGGCCTCTGTTCCACGAGAGGCGCACGTTCAAGGCTCTGTCGAGCAGCGCAAAGAACTCCTCGGGCTCCACAAACTGGTTGCGCAGATCCACCACCACCACCTCGCCCTCCTGCAATATCCCCTCCCTCCGCCTCCTCTCCTCCTCTCCAACACTCCCCCCCTCTCCCCCCACCCCACTCCCTCCACCACCTCCTCCTCCTCCCCATTCAGGCCTTACCAGCACTCCCCTTTTCACTACGATCCGCCGAGCCGGCTCCACAGGAATGTCCGGTGAGAACGACCAGTCGATGAGGTTCGGCGCGAACGCAAGCGGCAGGAGTGGGTGGCGGAGAATGAAGGCTCGGCGGGTGAGCAGCGCGCAGGCGAAGGCAGTGGCGAGGCCAGTGAGGGAGTCTGCTAGACCTCCGGGCTCGTCGAGCCACTCGTATGTGAGGAAGCGGATGGACGGGTCCAGGGGAGGCTGGGGGTATGTGGCTGGGGGTGGGGGGGATGGTGGAGGAGGGGGTGGAGGAGGGGGAGATGGAGGAGGGGGAGATGGAGGTTGGGGGGATGGAGGAGGGGGGGATGGGGGAGGGGGGGATGGAGGAGGAGGAGGTAGGGGAGGAGGAGGGGAGAATGAAGGATGTGGTGGTGACGGTGGGGGTGGTGGTTTTGGGGGCGATGGTGGAGGGGGTGATGGCGGTGGTGGTTTTGGCGGAGGTGGTTTCGGTGGTGGGGGTCGTGGTGGCGGTGGTGCGGGCGGCGGGGTTGGAGACGGTGGTAACGCTGCTGCTGCAGCAGCGGCGGCAGCATTAGCAGCAGCAGCAGCCGTCTGTGCGAGGGTGGCGGCGTGGGAGCGGGCAGCCTGGCGAATGCGGGCGTGCAGGGCGGAGTAGTCGCGCGCCCAGGAGCCACAGAGGGCGTCTGAGAAAGTGAAATCGAGAAAGGAGGCGACGGGCGAGGCAGACGCATGCAGTGAGGGAAGGAGCTGGCGCCAGGGGAGGGGAAGGGCAGAGGGGGAACATGGGAGAAGGGACAACAGGGAATGGAGATAAGGTAGGACGGAAGGGAGGATGAGAGTTTTATGGATGAGTTAATGAGAGTGAGGATGAGTTGTTGGAGAGTGAGTGGGGGAGGGTTATTGGTAAACGGGAGCGAGGATGAGTGATGAGTGAGGATATGTTGGTGAGAGTGGGAGGGAGCGAGGTGAGTAAGAGTTATGCAGCGGCATGTTGGAAAGAAACGCTCAGGCTTCGACGTATCACGTTTGTACGGGTAGCGTATATACGGAAGGAAAAACGCGAGACGTTCCGTAACGCGTAAGACGTTTCGGTTGGGCAGCCCGGAGAAAAAAAAAAACAAAACAAAACAAAACAAATTTCGTTAGCCGCCCTTCCCGCGATCTGCGATTCTGCGATACCTAATTGTTGAGATCCAAAATTTGAAAGCCTCCCCCCCCTCCTTTTCCTCCCTCAACCCCCACACCGCACATCACCCCACACCACCTCCCAAACCCAACCCTTCCCTTCCACCACGAGCAGCTCCCAGCTTTCACTCAGCGAGAGTGAAACAGCAAGGGGAGCTCTTTCGAATCGCATTTGCCTCACGACTATTCTAACTCACGTCACAGTTTAGCTCTACTACACTGCTATGTCGACCACTAATGCCGCACCTGCTATTGCTAGCACCCATAGATTTCGCGTCGCTTGCAGGATCTTCTTCGCAGCCGCAAATTTAAGACGATTCTAGCCAACAATGTTCAAACAAGTTATCCAGATCGCGGAAACTCCAAGAAAGTTAAACGCATCTGCAAGTGTTGCTGGACTTTTTACCCTCTAAAGCGTCCACGGAAATGTTTTTTGTATGCTGGAAATTAGCGCATCGCGTATGTACGTAGCGTGTAATTCGTACGCGTAATGTACGCGATTCGCGTTTATTTTCCAACATCTAGCGTTCTGGAAAGCTCGCCCCTCAGAAATTTCACAGGTTGTGAAACAGATCTCACCGAAAGGACGAGAGCGGCGAGCAGAAGAGCGTTGGAGACCGCACCATTCTGTCTTCGGCGTCGCCTCGCCATTTGAATCTCAGAAGTCACACGATGCTGCCGCCTCCGTGCGCCCGTGCGCTGCTTCGTACAGCTACCCGTACGGTCCATGATTGCAACCGGCGTTCGCTGCCGCACGTCCACAGTTCCCCCGTCGACGGGGATCCGCGACTTTAGAAGCGAGCAGCACCGTGTAGTAATAGGCTCCTCGCGACTCCTGAACTGACGATTTACGACTGTTGGCCAGCAGTTGTACTAGGTTACCCCGAGGTAACCTTCGTCGGAAGAAGTTTTGGCCACAAGCCACCTTTTCTAGAGTCTGACAACGATTGCATCGCCATCGGCGCTAACATGAAAGCTTACCAGCTTTACTATGCCCCAGCAATTGTCGTCAAGCTGTCGGGACGGGTCAATTGAACTTCAGGTTCGCGATTTCGGCAGGTTGAGGAGCTCTCGAACACGAGTGATGTAACGCGCTCCGCAGTGCCGGGATGTCGGCAGTCGGTTAGGTACTGACCGACGAAACAATGTCCTACGGCTCACGAATTCTTCCTACACACGATGTCCGTTTGACTAACCCAAGGTTGCCTTGTGAAGGGGGCGCTTAAGTGATTCATGCATTTCGTGGAGGTTTCGTCAATTCGCATCGGGCAAAAAGGGCTTATAGCAAAATTTTGTAACTCACCGTTGACTGTTTGACTTCGGTCTCTTCTGTTTCTGTGGTTCGTATTGGTTGACGTGCTTGTAACGTGGGTGCAACTGCCCGGGAAAAAACCTTCGTGTGCAAGGTTTCTGGAACGTGCGAGGCAATTTCGCGTGCAGGGGTTGGGCATCTTGTGTAGAAGCTCTAAATGGCTGGATGAGAAGGGGGTTTGCAACTATGTATTGCGCTTTTCGTAATCTTTGCGGTCTGATTCGTTCTGTCATGGTGCAGTACGGTAAATCTAAAAGACCGATGTACACCGTATGGAACCGTCCTCAGCCACGATCTATGAGCTGTAAACTAACAGGTTGGACTCCCCCTGGAGGCCACCTCCCACCAGTCAGACCTTCACCTAATTCAAGCGTGGCAAAATCGAGACGGCAGGCCGTGGCGCCCTGTTGCGCAGGGCACCTACTGCACATGTAACTGTGCTAGATGCGAGCATTGCAGTATCGAGATAAAGAAAAACGCCTTCACGGAGGGGGCAATAGAAAACATATAAAATGCAAAACAAGAGCTCGCCATATATAACCTGTGATTAACATCAACGGGCTCGGCAGTGCAGGGAAGCAGACCAAATGAAAAGACTGGCTAAGGAACAAGGCGGACATTTCAGTACTCACGGACACGCGTATTCAGGCAGACCACAATTTCTGGACTCAAGTGAAGTCGTCTGCTGTGTTGGCCGTGAGGCTAGCAGGGTCGGCAGGAGGAGTTGCGGTGCTGAGCTTCGTGCCTGGTGTTGGAATAACCGAAAGGTTATATAAGCATTCCCGAAGGCATTCCACTGTACCAATACCGCAATAGCTCATATAGAGCATGCGGAAGGTCGAGGGTCACCCGAAGGTCAACCGTCGAGAACAGTCAACGGTCGTGACCCTCGACCATCCAGTAGCCGCGCGACAGTTGTTCGGTGCAACATGGTAACCGTCGAGCATGGCAATAGGCGCAGTTACTGTAGCTATGAAATACAGTTAATACGGGAATGTATCCCTCAGAGTACATGGCTAGCTAGTTTGCTATTTAATCTCTTGTACTCCTATCTTTTAATCATCTTGTTCTCTTTCAATTATCACTCAACAAGGTGTCAAACATATATGCTGCATATTGTCTAGGCTGTAGTGGGGTAGCCCGCATGGGGTACAACCCAAATTAGGGTTTACTACTTGTACTCCTGCATGCTTCTAGTTCAATCATTCCTGCTGCTAGATTCTAACATGGTATCAGAGCACTAAGGTCCGTAGGACCGTTTTTTTTTCGGGCCCACCTACCGCTACCCCACGTACCTGCCTGCCTTGCCTTGCCTTGTGACGTGCTGCACTACGCGCGCCGTCCAGCAGCCCTAGCGCTGCCTCCTGCTGCCCTAGGCCAGCGCGCTGCCCCTAGAGGCCCGTAAGGCCCGCGCGCCGCCCCTACACGCCCTTCAGGCCCGCGAACAGCCCCTGCAGACCCGTTAGGCCCTCTGCTGCCGAGCGCTGCCTGCACCGAGCCCGCGCAGCCCGCGCCGAGCCGCGCGCAGCCCGCTGCTGCCGCGCGCTGCCCGCACCGAGCCCGCGCAGCCCGCGCCGAGCCGCGCGCAGCCCGCTGCAGCCGCGCGTAGCCCGTGCCGAGCCCACGCAGCCCGCGCCGGGCCGCGCGCGGGCTGCTACTGCCTCGCGAGGCCCGCGCGCAGCCCGCAGCAGCCCGCGCCGAGCCGCGCGCGGCCTGCTACTGCCTCGCGCGGCCCGCGCGCGGCCCGCAACAGCCCGCGCCGAGCCGCGCGCGGCCCGCTACTGCCTAGCGCGACCCGCGCGCGGCCTGCAGCAGCCCAGCGCGCTGTCAGCGCAGCCCGCGCCGAGCCGCGCGCGGCCCTCTGCCTCGGCCCCGACCTGCCGCTGATGCGGCCCCGCCCTGCAGCTGCCACGGCCCCGACCTGCCGCTGATGCGGCCCCGCCCTGCAGCTGCCACGGCCCCGACCTGCCGCTGACGCGGCCCCACCCTGCAACTGCCGCTGAAGCGACCCCCCCCTGCAGCTGCTTCGGCCCTACTCTGCAGCCAGTATTGCGGCCCCGATGTCGCCGCTGTCGTGCGCCTACTCGGCCGCCGCCCGTCGAGCGCCGGCCCTGCTCGCCCGGCGAGCGCCTGCTCTTCCAGCCTTTGGTGAGCGCCTGCCTGCCTGCCTGCCGGCCTGCCTGTCTGCCTGCCTGCCTGCCGGCCTGCCTGCCTGCCGGCCTGCCTGCCTGTCTGTCTGCCTGCCTGCCTGCCTGTCTGCCTGCCGGCCTGCCTGCCTGTCGGCCTGCCTGCCTGCCTGTCGGCCTGCCTGCCTGCCTGCTTGCCTGCCTGCCTGCCGCGCCTGCCCTGCCCGCGCTACTGCTGCTGCTACTGCTACTGGCAGGTGGCCAGATGCAGCTCCAGCGACGTTCACGTGAGTCTCTCACGCCCCAGCAGCTTAGTGAGTGGTATACTAGCTGGGGTTGTCGCGGTAGCCGTCGTAGCTATCGCACTGGAGCTGGTCAGTTGGGAGCGTCTGGCAGTGGCCAGCTGCAGCTGCAGCGGCGTCCACGCGAGACACTTACGTCCCGGCAGCTCCACGAGTGGTACGCTCAGTGTAGCAGGTCTACGCGTACAGTTCGCTGCCAGTACGTCATTCGCACAGGTGATCGGGTTTTTCAGCCTTGCGGGACGCTTGGTCACACACAGTCCCGCTGCTTCGCCCGTCTGAGCGACGACTGGCGTACAGTGTGTCAGAATGTTGTATTTGTCTAGCCTGCAGTGGGGTACTCTATAGCGAGTACAGCCCAATCTAGGGTTTGCTATTTGTATCTCAACTGCTGCTAGTCCAAACCCTCTTTCTGTTTCTAAACTTTGCCTACTACTTCTGACATGCTATCAGAGCAGGTCGACCCTCCTGGGTCGATCCTGTGGGTGGGCCCGCCACCTAATGCTTCCGCTGCTGTCCTGCTTATCGCGCGCCTCGGGCGCGCGACGTTTTCTGCCTACTGCGCGCTCGCAAGGCGCGGCGTTTTTAGGGTTTCGGCGGTTTTCATCCCGCCGTGCGCTCGGGGCGCGCGGCGGTTTCCCACCATCGAAGTGCCCCCCGTCGCCCGTCGAAGCGCCCTCCCCCCGTCGCCCGTCGAAGCGCCCCCGTCGCCCGTCGGAGCGCCCCCCGTCGCCCGCCAAAACGCCCCCGTCGCCCGTCGAAGCGCCCCTGGGACCCGCGCGCGGCCCGTACGGGCTGCGCCAGGCCCGCGCGCGGCTCGTACAGCCCGCGCGCGGCCCGTACGGGCGGCGCCAGGCCCGCGCGCGGCCCGTACGGGCTGCGCCAGGCCAGCGCGCGGCGCGGGCAGCCTGCGCGCGCCTCGTCCGTCCCCCTCTCGCCGTCCCCCGCGCTCCTGCCCCTATCCCACCCGTTTTAGGGTTTGGGGATGTGGAGTGTGGGGGTGGCGGGTGTGGGGGTGCCGGTTGTGTGCCCCGTCCCCTCCTTCTCCTCCTCCTCCGTCTCCCGCTGCTGCAGCTGCCGCTCAGGGGGGTGGTTGTGTGGGGAGCCGAAGGAGTGGTCCTAGGGGGGTGAAGGGGGAGTGGAGCTAGGGGCGCAGCAGGGGGTGTGTGTCGAGGGGTGTGGGACTGTTGGGGGAGGTTGAGCGGAGGTTGCCGTCGTGTCGTACGCAGCGCCTGTACTCCGGGGCACTCATTCCCGGTAGCTCAGAGAGCCGGTTGCGCCGTCGCCTGTGGGTCCGTTGCTCCTGCCGCGCATATTAGCCGCGGAGCCTGTTACTCCTGTACTCCGGGGCACTCATTCCCGGTAGCCACGTTGTCGCACCAGAGCCGTCTGTTGCCCGTGTGTCTGCATCTTCAGTCGTCGCCTCCTATCTACTCTCCTCTCACCAGCCCTCCTCCTCCTCACTTGCCCCCTGTGACTGCCTCTAGCTTTGCTCATAAAATGTGAACTACTATTATGACTGCTTGTTGTGCTGATTACACCCCACTTTGGCTATGGGGGTGTGTCAGAATGTTGTATTTGTCTAGCCTGCAGTGGGGTACTCTATAGCGAGTACAGCCCAATCTAGGGTTTGCTATTTGTATCTCAACTGCTGCTAGTCCAAACCCTCTTTCTGTTTCTAAACTTTGCCTACTACTTCTGACACAGTGTTTGGCGACGAGGCTGAGCTCCCCACCTGGCTGGAGCTGCTTGGACAGAGGGTAGATATCTTTGCTCTTGAC